GAAAAGGAAGGCTGAAGAGAGGCAGAGGACGGCAGCAGCAGCAGCAGAGAGGAGAGCCGCCAGTGGGCGAGTGGCTGCGCTCGAGGGGGAGGGAGCTTGGGAGAAAGGGAGGAGGATAAAGCAGAGAAGGAGAGTGGGGGAGGAGGGCTCTCTAGAGTGAGTCTGGTGTGTGTGTGTGTGTGTGTGTGTGTGTGTGTGTGTGTGTGTGTCCGTGTCCGTCCGCTGCTGCTCTCTGGCTGCCTGCGTGCAGAGAAGGCAAGGGGGAGGTGAGGGGGAGACTGAGAGCCTGAGAAAGCCCCACAAGCCACCCTCCTGGGAGGGAAAGCAGGGAGAGGAGAGGGGCGGGGAGGAGGGGAGCAAAGGGGGAGGAGAGAAGGAGGGAGGGAAGCAGCCAGGCAGAGGGGGGCTTTTCTCTCCGCGGCGCAGTTAAGATGCACCTTGAACGCACTGTTCTCATTGCAGCGCCCCAGCAGCAGCTACAGAAGCAGCAGCCACAGCAGCAGAAGCAGCCTGGGTTGCGGCGGCAGTGGCAGCACCAGCGGCAGCGCTGACACATCCCACCATGGACAGCTTCGACTTAGCCCTGCTTCAGGAATGGGACTTGGAGTCTCTGTGGTGAGTCCTGACACTCTCTGCCTTTGACAGGCAGCGGGAGGAGGGGAGGGGAGGACTGAAGGCTGCTCAGCTCCCTTCTGCAACTGCTCCTGCTGCACCTGAGGCACCGGGGAAGGGGGATGTCTGTGTCGATCACTGTGGGGTGGGGGAGATGTGAAGAGGTAAGGATTCATCTGAGGGACTGCTCTGACCCTTTTCTTTTTGCTCCTCTGTTGTACCTCCCCCATCCTATGAATGCACCCTCTTAGCCACCTCCCCAGCTTCTCGTCCTCCTCCCCACTTCCCACTCTGGCCTCTTCAGCCCAAGGGGCCAATGGTCTGAGGAGCGAGGGGCGAAGCTCAGCCCGGAAGGGAAACGGAGGGGAAGAGAAGAGGGGAACCAGTTTCTAGAGCATGTCTTTGGTGCCTAGGGAAGCAACCCCTCGTCTTTCTTCCAGCCCTTCTCCTCACCCCCTCCTCCCTCCTCTCACCTCTCACTCTCCCTCCCCCAACTAGTTCAGACCAGCCGCGTCCTGGAGTTGGTGCTGCGGAGCACTGTACCCTGTAGGATGCTTGGTTGCCCCCACCCCCTCCTCGCCTCTCATCATCCCTTCCGGACCTTGCTGGTTTCCTTCTTTCTCCTCCACTACCCACCCACCTGAGAAGGAAAAGTGTGCAACCAAGAGAAGAGATGAGTGTCTTCAATGGGGGAATTCCAGAGATGTTGGTTTAGAGAGACCGATTCCTTGAGGTTTATAATTCCTCTGGGCCCCCTCTCTTCATCCTTATCCCACCCATCAACTTCTGTTGTTCTGCTCCTCCTACTTCCCAACCCCAACCTGGTCCCCCCCATTAATCCCTTTATTCGATGCTTGCTGCTTGCAGTATGAGGATGGGGAGCCAGGGACAAATCTCCCCGTTCTGTTGCATTGACTTCCCATAACGAGTAGCTGCTGTATGTAAAAAAGGCTGCTTGAAGCAGTTTAATTCTAGTTGCGGTTGTCTTAAAAATCCTATTGGCTGCTTCATCATCCCCCTCTATCCCCCCTCTCCTTCCCTTCACTATCTGTTAAATGTTTGGAACCATTCTCTTCAGGTAGTGAAATTACAGCCTGTACATTCCTGGAGGAACTTGTATTATATTTAATATTTACGGGACGAACATCTGCTGGAACAAGCATATTAACCGCATTTTGTTGTTGTTGTTGTTGTTGTTGTTGTTGTCATGCCTCTGGTAATTGCTTATTTGTGGAACTGGACAATTTCTTCTTTTCTCTTTTTTTTTCTGCTTCAGATCAGTTAAGTGTTCACATGTCTTTAAAATCAAGTGCTTTGCCTCTAGGACCCATTGTTTAAAAAATGTGAAACATGCTGTTTTGGGTCTCCTGGTATATAAATGCCACATATCATATTAGGATTGGATTCCTTGTCTACACCTTTGGTATTTAGTGTTCTAGTGACTGTATTTTATATTTTCAATGACAAGTGTAGCCACAAACCTGGGCACAAAAGCCAATGTGTTACTGAACAGCTTCTTTTAAAAGATATCATGATTAGGGCAGCTTCCTGCTCATAATGTTGCCTCTTAAAAAACACACAAAGATGGGGCCTTAACGAAATAAAACTTTTATACATTAAGTTGGGAACTTCAAAGAGCCAATAGGCTATGACTGTGAAACATGCTATTACTGTAGAACAGATACTAATTACCACGGGGCTGCTCATGGCTCCTATACTTGAGGTTATTTCAGCTTTTCAGTTATAGTGCCTATTACTGCAGGAATTTATATCTTTGTCATGTTGGGTCTTGGAACAAATGCAGTATCTTTCCAGGTACAAATGTATTCTTAAAATGAGTTTAGTTCATTTTAAAGGGCAGTTTTCCAAGCAAGGACAATAATTTATTATTTCAGGGTATTTTGGATGCTGCTGTCCATTTGCTGACTGAAAATGAAACAGAAACAACTCTTTGGCTTCTAAAAGGTAGTTAATCATTATTGTGGATTAACACCAAGATGTTTATTATTTTTAAACAATGTAAAGAAGTAAAAAGAAAAACAAAATTTTTTTAAAGCCCAACCATATATGATCTGATTTTTTTTT